TGTGTGTGTGTGTGTGTGTGTGTGTGTGTGTGTGTGTGTGTGTGTGTATATGTGTGTGCGTGTGTGTCAGCAGAGATAAGGACCCCACGGTTCGTCACTCCTATAGTATTTAATGACTCCAAACCCTCTCTGCTGTGTGTGTGTGTCAGCAGAGATAAGGACCCCACGGTTCGTCACTCCCGTAGTATCTAATGACTCCAAACCCTCTCTGCTGTGTGTGTGTGTGTGTGTGTGCGTGCGCGCGCGCGGCTTAATAAAAATAAAAATAATGATTTTAATTGATACACATTTAAAATAACATTTCATTGTACTCCACATCACTCATTTTTCTCAACATTCAGATCCTGTTGTGATGGTCTCTCAGCAGCATCTAATATTTTATTTAATAATGTTGAAGAAGGGTAACGAACGTTGGGTTGGTGTCGCGCGTATCCTAAATACCATAACACGCTGGCTACGTGCGCACATGTACCCACAGTTTTTGCACCTGATTTACAGGTGCAGTAATAACCTAATATCACTTTCCTTTCATCATCTACGTCGTCTTCATCTCTCATATTGTAAAAATGCGAGTGTTTTCACGGTTTCGTAATGCAACGAAACAGCAAATATTTATAGCTTACAATATAAGAGATGAAGACGACGTAGATGATAAGAGGGAAGTAATATTAGGTTATTACTGCACCTGTAAATCAGGTGCAAGAACTGTGGGTACATGTGCGCACGTAACCAGCGTGTTATGGTATTTAGAATACGCGCGACACCAACCCAACGTTCGTTACCCTTTTTCATCATTATTAAATAAAATATTAGATGCTGCTGAGAGACCACCACAACAGGATCTGAATGTTGAGAAAAATGAGTGATGTGGAGTACAATGAAATAAGTTATTTTAAATGTGTATCAATTAAAATCATTATTTTTATTTTTATTAAGCCGCGCACACACACACACACACACACACACACACACCAGAGAGGGTTTGGAGTCATTAAATACTACGGGAGTGACGAACCGTAAGGTCCTTATCTCTGCTGACACACACACACACACGCACACAAACACACACACACACACACACATGAGATCAGCCCCCTACCACGTCCATGTCGTTGGTCCTGGGTTATGCTAAGAGTAGGGATATAGTACTCGCGCAGACCATAATTTTTTATGTTTGACTGGCTGTAGCTCAAAAACTGTCCATTATTTAGCTTTGTGCCCATTACATTTTTTGTTCAGTAGGTTATAAGCCACAACATATTAAAAAATTACGCGATTTCACCGGAATCCAATTTCCTATATAATTAATGCGGGGTCCTTTCCAGATGTTCCAGTTCTCGAAATTTCTCGATTCCATGAAATTTCATGTTTGTGGATTTCCAGTAAACGCACCAGACAGACACGCCCTTTTACTGCACTTTTGTCAATGTTCACTGACGTACTCACTTTTACTTACGAGCAACCGAATTGTCAATGTTCACTGCAGTTTCCACTTAATCAATGTTCACTACAGTCTCCACTTACGAGGAACCACGCTCTGCTACCATGTTGATGTATCAATATCTTCTTATTGTGAAACATACACCGAGTAACGTTTTGTGTCGAGCATAGAGGCGCGAGTGGCGCGACTTAACCAAAGGTGAATATCGTGCTTAGTATAGCCAAAGAGAAACCTGAGAGCGGCCACCGGGATCATTCCATTCAAGCGGACGTATACTGACGCGCCGCCTGAGAAAGTGGACGTCAACTACGTCGTTACGCTCAGTAACGGTACACACATGGTTCGTGTCCGTGCTATGGTTCGTGTCCGAACTACTCAGATGGAGGGGATATGCTGGTCGCGCAAGCCCCTCTTCTGTCCGTGTACGCTCGGCACTCGGCAATCTTCGAGCGGAGAGAGAAGGACAGACATACGATCTGCTATCTCCTTCTCTCTTGAGCTGTGACGTTGCCGTTAGCACGCGCCGGCTGTACCACGATGCCACGCATTTCGGGTTTCGCGTCTCGTGTCTCGTGTCTCGCCGAGTGCCGAGTCTTGAGTTGGCAAATTGACGATTCGCTATACGTTACATTTGCGTTTATGTTTACAAATTTTAATTTTTATATTTATAAATAAATATATATATGTATATATATTGGAAATTTACAAATATATAAAAATTGCAAATATAATTAATTAAATAAATATTTATAAACTTAAAAATTAAAATTCGCAAATGTAATGTATAAAAATTACATATGCTATACATATGCTTCTATCTATACATATGCTTTTCTATCTAAAAAAGTCTTACATTAAAAACCGTTATGTGGCGGTCAGCTGTCCGACACGTGCGCGCGACCGTACATACGCTACACGAATAGTATGACAGGAGGCGCGCGGCGCGCAGCACGGATAGTAGCGTAATATCGATCGGCGCGCGACATGAATATCGATCGGCCGGATAGTTCGGCGCGCACCGCTGCGCGGCGTATCTCTCTCGTAAGTAAGGTTCGACATCGATCCTTATATAAAGGACAGCTCAGCGGGACCTCTCCAGCGATCTTCGAGAACGCCAGTCAGGGCGTGCTACCTATCGGGGCCCCTGACATAAGTCTCTTTTGATACGAAGTGTTGCTCTACTGTGGGCCTTCGTAAAACACCTGCTTGGCAGGGCGTTAACTACAGTTAAGAGACAACCAGCATCCTGCCGCGGAAAGGTTTCCGGGGTCATTGCAACCCAGCCCATCGGGCGACTCCTTATCCGGCTCCTGAGACCAAGGCGTTGCCTCCTGTGAACCTGACTCCGGCTCCTGAGACCAAGGCGCTGCCTCCTACTACGGCCTCGGCTCCGAGTACTCCGGCTCTTGTGACTCTGACTCCTGCTCTCGTGACTCCGACTCCTGCTCTTGTGAACCCGACTCCTGTTCCTGTATCCAAGACGAAGGATCGCATCGTGATCACAAAGGTAGAAACTCTACCGCCTGGGAAACGTCTCCTACAGAACAAATCCAAGACTAAGTGGAGATTTACCCCGATTGCCAAGTGGGGTCATACTAACCCAGCAACACTACAATCGGTGGAAATAAGATCGTCAACTATACCGAGACCGACTCCAGTCCTACCGAGCCCTACACCAGCTCCTGTTCCTGAGGCTACATCACGAGATCCGAACTTGTCTTCCAAGGTAGAAACCTTTCTACCTTGGAAGCTAATACCCATCACCGGCTCCCGAAGACGTATCAGCTCCTGAGATCCAGGCGAAGGACGCTATCCCGATCTTCAGGATAGAAACCTTTTTACCGTGGAAGCTCTATCCAATCGATTTTCCACCAAGAGCTCCACGTGTCCGACGCCCTCTTCATCCCATTGATCCAGAGAACTTTGTGGCGACGCAGACCGACCACATCTTCAAGACGCCTACACGACCACGATTCCTGCAGACCCGACTGAGTCCTATTCCGTCCACTCCAATAGGCAAGCCTAGGACTCCCGGACGGAACCTGGTGGTCCTACTAGAGAATATCTTCGAGAAGAAGAAGTCAATTATAAAACAACTATTCAAAGAACCGTAATGCGTATATTACACTACACAAAGATAACCTACACCAACACACACGACCATCTACACATTCATATAGAGGATATAATTATTTTGTACATAGAGCATGAATAAACATAGCGAGATTTTACCCAATTGAACATTTCGTTATTTGTGGGAACGACGCACCTTAACCTAATCCTAACCTACCCCCCCCCCACACGTTACTTTAGCAGAATAATATTTACATGTAATATTTAAATGCATACCAATAATTATATTATTGACTATGAGAAATAACTGTAGTTTATAATATTCTTTTACTCTTATTAAATTTATTTTACCTATGCATGTTTAATTGGCCAAATTACGGCTAAATTACAAGCAACAACAAAAGGATATTGGATAAAAATAAAAACATTTTATTAAATAAACAATACTCATGGGTAACATTTCGACTGTACTTATTATAATTAGTCTTCTTCGGAACGGATTACTATGAATATAAAAAAAGAAGATAAATATTAAAACATGATAATGTTTAAGTTAACATACTAAAACATTAAACATTAGTCTACTAGACTAAAACATTAAACAATTTCCTAATAATATAAACAAAATAAACAATAATCTAATTGAATCACAAATATAAAAACGCCGGAGTAATCAAATAAAACCATGACAAGATAAATTTTATATTTATATTGAGAGGTGATAAAATCTCTTCCGTCAGGAAGAGAATGTAAACAATTATTAACGGGGTATTCTGATTTAAAATATCTTTAAAATAGATATTTTTTAGGAATTTTTTGTAGGGAAACAAAGAAAGTGAATAACGTTAAACTTTGCATGTTCTCTTCACCTCATTTTAAAATTTTATTTTTATTTAAGTAACAAAAATGCTCTTCTTTTCTGTTATATCCTGGTCACTATAAATGACAGGCGGTGTAAATAATTCTAGCTGTTTTAGGTATCTGAAACACAAAAAGCTAAAATTTTCTTATTTTGCAGAAGTGTGGTTACTGTCTGAACTATAATTAAATCAATATTTCTATTCTGTGTGTGTAAAAGCGGCTTTTTTATTAAAAATATTATAACTTTTTTCAAAATTTTATTAGTATTTTATTTAAAAAAAAAAACTAATAAACAATGTTTATTCTAGTTCAGACGATAGCCATCACTTATTTTGAATAAGAAAATTTTTGGTTTTGTTGCGGCCCCAATTAATATAACCATAAATAGTATTAAGAATAAAGACCGCGAAGAACAATAGGGAACGCGACCGCGAAAGCCCAAAAGAATTACGCAACGCCAAATCAGCAAGAGAGTTGCGCGATCGGCCCACATACGATCGAGCAACTCAGCGATATTGAAGGACAGGACGAGGATTCAAAAGGAAGCGACAACAGGAGATGAGAGGGCAATCGGAGTCAGGGAGCAGATCAGTAACGCGCATCTCTTGTACGGAAATAACTGTAAAGCAGATTCAATTAAAGTATTCTTTATTCGAAGTGCCGTTTATCAAAGAGTGTTCTATCAGTCACCCATCCCGCCTCCTCCTTGGAACGATCGAATCCTAGTGTACCCAAAAAGAGGCACAACAAAATGGTGGCAGCGTGAGGGATCCAGTGGCAGGAAGACGGCAGCTGAAACAGAAAATAAGTGAATCAATGAGGCAGTGCAACATCCTCAACGGAGACACGGCAGTCAGATTCAAAAGCAGCGGACAACACGGTAGCGGCCGACGAGAAGCAAGCGAGCAGCGTAACCCGAGAAGGCACCGACTTATCTCAACGGAGGCTCACCGACAGATAAGGCGGCACAAGCACCGACCAGCAACATGCGACTAGCGACCGTAATGTAAGTCGATTAAGCAAATTATGTAAAGCGCAATCACCGTAGATGTCGGAAAACGAAAATCCATCTGAACTAAACCGGAACTAAACCAATCGTGGCTCCATAGCGAGACGTCACGACGAGCGCGTAGAAATAGACCGTTAAGCCCCGTGCAAACGACCGAAGAAGTCGTAAGCAATAATCGCGAAACCGTGCGTAGAAATTTAGACGCGTACTACTCAAACGAAAGCGAATCAGAACCGGAATTACACCCGGACAGCGTAATTGAACGCGAATCCCAATTCGACGATTCCATTATAATTTTAGACGCGAGAGTAATAAGACAAAATAACTGCCCCGACGAAAATAGACTCCACCTCTCACACGCGCACGCACAATCCGAAGACGCGGACAGTACGACCAGTAGGCGAACACACAGACGAGAGTTCTCATTGACCTCGTATGATAGCAGCGTATTTGACCCGCAAGAGTATTATTCTGCCCCGAGACACGTGAACGTAATCGAGATGGCGGAAGCAACAAATAGCAACCACGACGCGAATAACGTAAATGACAACGCGCCGATAACCCCAGAGGAAATAGACGAAGAAATAAACCGTCTTAATCGAGTGCTATCACAAAGAGGCACCCCGGCGAATCACCGTAACCGGATACCCGCACGGGCCGGACCGCCGCGGGACGATAGAGATTCCATTTTCGACGAGATATTAAACGGAATCCGCAACTTACAAGATCGCGTAAATCAACTAGAAACGGCGAATCTTGAACGCCGCAAATTTCACGCGAGACGCGAGCCAAATAACCTCCCGTTCGAAGTAACGTACGGAAGAACGTCATACGATATTCGGAACCAAGCGGAGCGCGCAATTGGATATCTACGTTTAAAAGAGGCACGAGACATGATACCCGAGTTCGACGGAGCCTCGAGTAAATTACAAGAATTCTTAAGCGCCGCGTCATATGCAATAAAAAACATAAATCCTATGGAAGAAGGAACGCTATTAGAAGCAGTGCTATGGACAAAGCTAAAAGGAAGAGCGATGATAGACTTTCAAACGCGAGAGATAAGAGATTTCGCACAACTAAAGAAGGAATTAGAAGTTTGCTATTTGAGCCGCAAAAGCACAACACACTTACAACTAGAGTTTAATACACTCAAGCAAAAACCCGGAGAAAATGCAAGAGCATTCAGATTAAGAGCCGATAAGCTAGCGATGGAGCTATACGACTCCATGATAGAGGGAAGAAATCACACCATAGAAAGCAAGCGAACTATATTAGAAACGATTCAACAACAGGCATTACAGAATTTTCAATTAGGATTGAGAGACGAGATCAAGTTACTTGTCCGAGCTCAGCATTTCACAACATTGCAAGAAGCGATTGCCGGAGCGAGCGCCGAGGAAAAAGTAAACGGGCCGAGTGGAATTCCGCCGCGTCCCAAAAATAATTATGCGTACTCGCCGCAACCGCGCGATAACCGATCGATATTACAATGCCAAAAATGCGGAAAATACGGGCACCTCGGAAGGGAATGTCGTACCAATAGATATGCGAACCGTTTCTCCTTACCGAAACCCGATAGAACACCCCGCGTAAACGCGATAGATAAAGTCTGCAATTATTGCCAGAAGGCAGGACACATGCGCGAAGAATGTTGGCTGTTAAATGGTCGACCAAATAAAGAAATGACGAATCACAACAAACCGAATAATCCGCGAGGACAAAATAAAAATTTTCACCCGAAAACGAATGGCCCGAGAAAAAAAGACAGTAATTCAGCCGCGAATAGCGATGAGGAAGACAAAGAGGACACAAAGCAGCGCCGACCGGCGTTAGAGTATCAGGTGTCACACCTGACAAACAAGCCGCGAAAGCATGCAGGGCTGGACTTAATCACTCTGCCCATGCGAGAAGCGAAGCGCAAAAAAATAAAGGACCCCGGGCCCAGCCATAGGGAAAATGGATCCCGGTCAAATTGGTTCAAACTGCAGTATGTTGTACTTTATAATCTCCTGATTCAAAAGTGTTAATGGGCACGAAGTCCGGAACCATCTACTTTTCGAGTTATCAGACGTTGTACATGGTAAAAATGAGGATATTGGGGATATTCTATTTTAGAGTATCCACGGCAATAATTCTTTAGGGTCGCATTTTTGTGTGTGCGTGCGTGCGTGTGTGCGTGTGTGTGTGTGTGTGTGTGTGTGTGTGTGTGTGTGTGGAAGTATGTCCGTATGAGCGTGTGCGTGTGTGTGTGTGTGTGTGTGTGTGTGTGTGTGTGTGTGTGTGTGTGTGTGTGTGTGTGTGTGTGTGTGTGTGGGTGTGTGTGTGTGTGTGTGTGTGTGTGTGTGTGTGTGTGTGTGTGTGTGTGTGTGTGTGTGTGTGTGTGTGTGTGTGTGTGTGTGTGTGTGTGTGTGTGTGCGTGTGTGTGTGTGTGTGTGTGTGTGTGTGTGTGTGTGTGTGTGTGTGTGCGCGTGGGTATGTGTGTGTGGGTATATCTGTATGAGCGTGTGCGTGTGCGTGCGAGTGCGTGCGTGCGTGTGTGTGCGCGCGCGCGTGGGTATGTG